GCCAGCGGCGTCTGCCTGCCAAAGTCTCCTAAAGGAAGCTTTCATTCGCATTAACCTTTGTAACTATCTCGTGAGAATCTTTCCGCAAGTTTTGAAGAACGATTTGTAAGCAGCATCCAAAACCTGTCTTGAGTGTTGCTTTCATCGCTAAAGACCCCTTCGACCTGGAATCCTTCCCTTATTAGTTCTCAATGAAGTTTCGTTTAGATGATACAAAAAACCATGAGAACGCCACCTGCAATTACCAATGGTGTACATACACCTACGAGGTGAGTCCACTTCGTGATTCTCTCAGTGGTCGCATAAACCTAGTTGTTTTAGTAATTTTTTCAATTATTCAATTGAAGCGCTACATCGGAGACAAAGATTCTTTTATTCAGATTATTCGCCATTCACTTCGACTCTCTTGAGATGTTCAGGCCTCCTAATGTCATGTGCGCGATAGTCCTCTCCTTAGACTTGAATGGGTATTCAACTCAGAGTTTCCAGAAGTAAATTTCACGTGAAGACTCGAACAACCAAAGCAATTTTGATCTAAAAGTAAAAGTAGCTTGAAGGCTATAATTACGCTAAAGCATATACGCACCAGGAACGTAAATGTATGCGGCACTACGAGCACTAGCTCGGCTGTGAAGAGATGTTTTCGAGGCGAAAATGAACTATTTGCTGCCAGTAGGATTATACAGGGTGTCCCAAAATTATGGGCGCCGAAATTCAAAAATTTGTTTGGCAAAAGTACTCGATTATTCTCCCTTCATTTGCTGATGATTAGTTACACACGAAAGGTCCTCTTGTAACCTGTTTGATTGTAGGTGTGAAATCCCTACTATCTTCAGGAGGGCGGGAGGTCTTTCACTGCGACCTGCGATCATTCGCATGCACGAGGTGGATACCCCAATGAAGGACAATGTCAAATATTTTGTAGTTTCCACAAGGGTTATACGGAAGGTTATCCTACGATACTAGGAAACAGCGTCCATTATGCATAGGCCTAAGAGAGGTAGAAAGGCTGGCCGTTCTGCCGGAAGGGTGTCTGAAAGGTTCCATTCTCAAATTGACCGCGACCCACGACGCTCCTTCAGAAGAATGGCGGAGGAGCTGGAGGAATCGAAGTCATCGATGGGAAAGGTAGTCAATGAAGAACTACATAGCCGTTCCTACCATATGCAGGAGTGCCAGCTCATTTTCGATATCAACAAGCAACAGAGGGTCAAAGATTGCAGAAGGTTGCTTACCCGCCTCAGTGAGGACACGCACCCTACCACCCTTTCTTATGAGGAAAAAATTTCCATAGCAGAGCGGATTGGCAATAGCCAGAAAGATTGCATTCCGGGCAGAAATGTCAGGAGTGCTACTCCACGCTAAAAGATTGTTTGCAAATCACCGAACTCGGTCTCAATTTCGGTTTAAAGGAACACCACGTCCAGTGGTAAGGGGCCGTTAGTTTTCCTTTGATTTCGGTAAGTTCATCAGCAAATCCGGACACTTGAGGTGAACGTAATGAAGGCTCGGCACGAGTCCTACCGTGGAAATAACCCGAGTTGTTTCCAGCAGAAAAGTGCTCAGGCCTACATGGCCAAGTTCCTCCAAGTGTGGTGCCGAGTTCAGTTGCCCGACTTTGCTGGCACCGAGGAACGGCCATCATTTTCACCAGGTTCGCGCCCACCTCACCTCTTAGTGTGGTCGTTGAGCGAAAGTAAGGTGTGTCAAGTTCTTCGTCACAGTTCGAGTCACTGGAAGGAACATTGAAGGAAGCCTGAGAAGAAATAGACGAGGAATTCCTGCGTGCAACGTGCGCGAAGCCTAAGAAGCGACTTCGAGCTTGCATTAGTCGCGTTGGAGAGTATTTCGATATCTAGTTGTTCCACATTGTTGGGGATGATGCAATTTACCTTATGTGTAAATTCAGTCAGCATCGTCCGTTTAGAAGCTTGAAATATATTGCTGTGTGTAGGCGCCCATAATTTTGGGACACCCTGTAGATGCTTCAAAACCGCTCCGCCCCAGTTGCTAGCAGAAACACCATCCGCTTTTCGCCTTCGAGGAAACATTTTACTTCACGGTACCGTATCTTAAATTTATCTAGGTGAGCGTCATAAGCCAAAGCATCATATTTGCTGAGATGTCGTCTATTGGAAGCTACACATCCGAACGACCCCATTCTTAATGCGGGTTGGCTCTAGTCGAAAATCCTTGGGCAAACGAGTGGGTCCCTCTTCAAGCGTTCTTGATGGGATTTGACATTTTTTTGCCTCTTCGCATCAGCTGACCCCTCACTTTCACTCTTTCACTCTAGACCAGGGTCAGCCCAACCGTTTGTATTTTTAAATTAATTCATAATAATTAAAATAAATTCTTTAAAATTAAATTATTAAATTTAATATTTCACCACCCCTCCCCTTTTTAAGATCTTAACACGTTGACGACATCGCATGTTTTGGCATTTTGCACCGCGTGGGACAGGAGCGATTTTGCGACCGCGCCGTCCTCACCTTACTTCGCTTATTTTTTGTTAAAATGCACAATAACTTGAATTTCATAGGACTATTTCGGCAAGGATGAAAGCATAAAGGTTAACTATATAAGTAGCAGTAGGTTTTTGTTTAGAAGAGCGCATAATGACCACGAAGAAGTAAAAAACATCACTTTCGCTGCGAATGAAATTAAAAGCATTTATATCTAAGTACTCCCATCAAATCAAATATATTGAAACTCACAGAGTTTTGTTTCAACTAACTCTAAAATCTTTCATAAGAATATTGACGGCAGTGAAAGTATTATTAAGAAAGAATCGGAACGAAAGTTTTGTGCGTTCGGAAAATCTTTGCTTAATCAAAAGATACTTGACCACTCTAGCTGCCAAGCGGTTTATAGTCATGCTAATGTATTATCTATAGAATGAATACAAGAAACCCGAGAGGAAGGAGCGCAAGCACGATAAAAGTGAGTAGCATAGACTTGACGCGCTTGCGCGTCAGAATGTCGTCAACGTGTTAATACAAGCCATACATGTGAACGTATATTTATGGGAACATTAGCTTACACCGTGGCGCATAAATATGGTGACAAGATGTACTAAAGCTATGCACATACTGAACGATGAGCAAAACTAATGACTACATCTAGGCCTTCAGATTCGCCATTGCCTTTTGTATATAACTATATCGTTTCATGGTTTTGGCCTTAATTTGGTGAACGGCTCTACTTAATCTGAAACGAGAGGATTACAGACGCGCTTTGGCGATCGGATCTTTTGTGAGATTGCTGTATAGTAGGATGAATCGCGAGACCTTCGTGACTCTCAGTCGCAGTACACTAACGAAAACCCGGTGTGCGAAACTCAGGGACAAATGTAGCTTTTCCAACAACGTGTTACTGGCGCGAATCATGACTCCATGGAACCTAACCACACATACAAAGAGCTGCCACGAGGGCAGTAAAGAAAGCACTTGACAGGAATATTAAACGGTCCACAGAGCCTTCAAAAGGTTATACTATCTCTCGTCCCTCGTCTTAAGTTTTGCACACCAGTGTATTTCTCAGAAAACTGTCGCTTACGAAGGCCAAAGGTTTGCCATGGATATCGTCAGAAAGCCTATTTACCGCGGGTTGGTGAAAAGATGAAAATCGTCCACAGATTTGACAGTATCAGGATAAACGGTGCGGAAAATTCTGCATAGAAGGCTTGGAGTACAAGCTTATTACTTCATTATATGTATAAGGAACTCGGTGTGTCGGTTTGACGGTGTGTGTCGTTCTGTCCGTCCAAACCGACCGCTAACCAAACCGGGGAGTACGAAGGGCAACACTTGGGGATGTTGATGTCATGATTATGATAACACCCACAGCGGCTATACAAAACACCGAGCACACTCAGCCTTTTACATGATGCTGCCGTCGCAGTCGGAAGTCATGGGAAAACGATTAGCTCTTGCGGTCCAAATCATTGCCGAGTCTTAATTCAGCGTAATCTAATTCCATTCAAGAACATGCACAAGAGTATCTTTTTGCCTGATAGCAGTAGACACGATGTGTACTGGAGGTTTCTTCTTCCGCAGTACACACCCAAAATGCTAAAGTAGACCTTAGTTATCGTTTGACACTCGGTGATAAAAGAACCCTGCTGCCGCTGTGATCACTTATCCTTACTCTGCTTCTTCCCACCTTCTCGGTCTCGTAGTACTTACGCTACACTATCACCGCTTTTTGCATTGGTATATTGTCGCAATAGTTCTTGAATTTTCGGTGATTTACTTCCAAAAAATGAATTGATCATTTTGTGTGTAATTTGGTTTAGGACTGTTACAGCAAGATGGTCTTTTGCCTAATCTGTGGAGGGGCAGCCATCCGCCCAAGCCGGGCTATCCCCAAGAAGGAGGAGAGTCCGGCGTCAGCTGGGCGATCCGGCCGGTAAATACCATAAAGCGCGAACTTTCTCGAACAGGGGGGAAAAGCAGTGTAAAAAATGTCGAGGGCTTGAGGTGCGGCCCGCAAAGGAAGCTCGTATGTACAGTGACGAGAAAACCTTCAATATTTTTTGTTGTGGAGAAGTAGATCGGACTTATTGCGTCTTTGTGACAACTGACACAATGAATCAACCTCACTTGAGGAAATGTTTATATAGGCTTCGACAGCCGCTCTGGTAAACAAAAACATTAGGAAGTGATACTGACTATCTGAGCGGTAAGCCCTATAACATTTTTCATGGGCGACCAGAATATTTGGCGAATTTCAAGTGTAAAAAAAGCCTATGCTACGACTATCGAGAACGTTGTCCTTTATTCCAGTCATATCATAAAAAAGATAAAGATATGAAGAGACCAAATAAAAAAGAAAAAAGAGAAAGAAAAAATAATGAGAAGCTAAGCAAGAAGCAGTCTCTGTGCTGAATTTTTTTTCTGTGCGATTGATGCCTAGAGCCAGCAGTTGGAAAAAGCTGAAAACATGTTCAGACACGTCTTGCTCCTAGGCTTTTCTTTGTGTTTGAATGTAGAGGGGGGATGAGAGAGGCCGCGGTACGCGAAATATTTACAGCTTCTCCGCGAAAACACAACTCTGTAAATCGAAGGAATACAAGCAGTTCTTTCACGCGATCTTTTTAAGAAAGGTGTCGAATTTGGCACGAACAAAGTTAAGTGGGGGGGAGGGGGAGGGGCGGGCTTTCTTTGACTATGCTTTTCTTCTCTTGTAAAGGTGCAGGTGCAATACAACAATGATGCTTCGTGCAAAGTGAAACTGAGGTAAGCCTATCTTCGAAATTCTGGGTATTTCCTTGGCGCTGCTGAGATTACGTCAGAAATGCTAGAAGGGATGAGGCATTTGGTTGGACAGGGACCCATTCTTAAGTTCGAGCCATGTTTAGTCCTTTGAAAACGACGTTTCCACCTAAAAACTCCGTGGGAGAAGCACAAAACACATAATAACAGCGCGAGATATGCCGAGGTTGAGCTCGAGGTCTACAAGAACTATTCTACTCGTTTACTGAAACTAATTGAAATTTTGTTAGTTATTTCTACAAAAATACTCAACAATTTGCCCTTTTCGACGGTTAGAACAAATCAGGTCAATTCAGCGATCGTTAGATAGAGCTAATCTTCTAGTTTACGATGTCATATTAATCTTTCTGAACTACTGCTTTAAATTACTACTTATTTCTGATGGAATGGAAGTTATGACACTTCAAAATCAAAAGAACCCGGAATTCTCCTAAAATCGTTAGTTACCCCTTGCTCACTAGTCACCCCTTTTCTGTAAGTTTAGTGTGATTCAAAAAGCACTCGTCGAGAATCTTCCACGTCTGCTTTTCGCACTCGAAATTCGTTCACTTTTGAGGAGGTTATATTCATTGAAAAACACGCTCAATTTTCGTGCTCCCTTAGTGGATAAGCGTCAAGGTTGACACCACGTGTCGGGACTATGTGCAAGAAAAGGTCCCTCCTAGAGTGAGAACTCCTCAAGCGCAGAAGGCACGACCATTGCGCACTGCCATCGTGCAACGTACTCTCTCGCATTTCTCTTCTCGCAGCGCTGCGTCTCTCCGCCATATCACGACTGACTTCGCTAGGGAATTTTCAGTGATTTTTATGATGCTCTCTCGTTTTTCTCCCCTCTCATGTTCTCATGCGCTGTAAGAGCAATCACATCAGTTCTAAGACCGTGTGTAGGCAGAGAGAGTTGCTATGCGAGGAAAGTCGTATCTCAGTTTCCTCGACGCTTAGCTTGACCCTGCCAACAACTCGTGGAAGAGACGTACACAAACTGATTAAGATCATCTCTTCTGAATGTGATGTCTTACAGGTCAATTTTTGGCTTTATGCTGTTTTGTTTTGTGTACTGCTGGCAACGTGTTTCCCAACCGTGAATGTTTCGATGAACACTCTTTTCAGTAAGATTCTTGGTCCACGGAGACAGGTGAGTGCTTCTGTTTGATGTGCTATATTAATCTGTACGTGCTACATACACATTTTTTATGTTTTTGAAAGCTAGCTGCTGAACTCAAGCCTCTGGATCTTATCAGAGTGAATCCTTCCTATTTTCATAGAAAATCGCGGCCGAAAATTATTTCTACATTCATATGAAGGTTGAAAGGACTCTAATTTGCTGTTGTTAATTAGTGCTGATAACTGAATAGTCGACCGATCCTCAAAAAAATGAAGCATTAGGTAGTAGGAGAGAGTCCTTGCGGTTTTCGAAAAATTTCATTTTTTACCTGCTCAACACCTTCCAGCTACTTCGCTTGTGCATATATGAGGAGGACATTCTATATGTGCAAGTCTACAATAATTACTAGCCGTTAAAGGAACTGTTAAGACCATGATTTCTATTCCAGCCATAAATCACTGGCTTGAGACTATCATCCACGATAAGAATGAAAAGAACAGAAAAATTGCTTTGTTTTGGTAAAAAATTCGAAAAACGAAAGGGCTGCTACGCGTTCAAAGTACCGCCGGACATCTGTCACAAATGCTGGCGACGGGAATGCTTCCACTTGGTTCTTGGAGTGCCTTCACTAGAAACTCTTTCTGGCCTTTGACCTATTGCATCATTTGTCTCTACTCTCCAAAATCGCACGCTTTAACCCGATTCTTTCATTGCGTCGCCTGATACGTAGCCGCCCAAGGCGGACTTCTTTCCATGCCCGCCTTTGGCTCCGCGCCTTTTACCTTCGATTGTCCATAGAGTGTAGTTTTTGTAAGTTTGTTTCTCTTCGGAAACCGAATCTTCATGCGTGAAACTTTGTGTGCTGTTTCCAGTGATCACAACTGATACATGATGAGAAAGAATGCAAAGCAGCTTCAGCAGCTTACTTTGCAAGGCCTGTCGGTTGGTTTCCGTGCACGGGAACGCCACATTTGTGATTGTCCTCTAGGGGTCCGTACTACAGACTTAGGAGAAGCGTTCACATGTTCTCCTGGATTGTGCCCTTGAGTCCCTCGTTACAGAGGGTGAGAAGTGGTGTCTATAGTCAACATCAAGCCCCGCCAACAGCTGGGTTGACAAGGGTGACCAGCCTGAGCCGCAACAGAAGGCAGGTGTTCACCCTCTGAAGGTTATGATCTGTTTTTGGTGAGACTGCTAAGGCATTATCCATTACGAGCTACTGCCGCGCTGCGCTACTCTCGCGGTGGACTTGTGCAGTTAGAAGCTGAATAGATTGGCCACCCAGATCGTAAAGAAGCATAGGAATAGCAGCACTATCCGTCTGCACTGCAAAGCTCGTACACGCATTACCACTATGACCCGACAAAATCAACTCGACCTCCGATAGGAAGTGCTGTCCCATCCATATCCAATGCCATTCTTACGAAACATACACTTTGCCTTCCGCTGTTGAATGCTATACAAGAAAAACCGTTTGAAGATCGCGATGACAAATATTGCTGATTGCGTAACTTTTCGGGCCGGACTCAGGGAAGTTCCATCGTTAAGGGCAACAGAAGTTTGCCCAAAAAGTGGGCGAAGAGTAACAGAACATGATGGTAATTAAATTATTTCTTCTGTGTTTTCTTTCTTTCAAAGAGTCAACAAAACGATAAGTTCAAAAACCGCAAAGGCTTTTTCTAGAGCCTATATATTATGTTGTCCCATAAGTAGTGTTGCTTTTCGTCGAACGAAAAGTTTAGATCCCAACGTCTTACATATATAATATATAATATTATATATATATATATATAGTATATATTAGGTTGTTGCATTATAAATGTCGCTTTTGGACGTAGCCACAAAATTTGTTGGAACAGCAACAATTCGGCATCTCAGATGGAGGGATGAATACCACCTCATTGTGCTGGGCTTCGCCATTCCTAACGCAAAGACTCGACGTCCTTCTCGAAGAATTTTAGTAAGGTGCGCAGGTAAAGATGGACACCCAGATTCCGAATTATTTGTACTTCAAGAACTGTTTCTCCTTCAAAACGTGCGTTGACTCGGATGCGCAGCACATAGATGGAGTGTGACGAGAGCTGTTTGGCGGCGAAGTAAAATGTTTCAGCCTGGTCTCGCACTTTTTTGCTGTTGATTTTTTCGTAAAATGCAGCTTTTTCGTCGTGAATTGAGTTTATGGAATCGTTGTTTTTCTTTCTCGCCGAGCCAATGCACGGTTTGATGTAGGTCGATTTTTGTTTACAAAGACCTGCCGTGACCGTGTGAGCTAATTCATCCCCTCAGCATGTCGTAGAACATTCACGGACACACGGAAATTCCGGTCAGTCATCGTTTGAAAATTTATGTAAAAGAAATGATATGGGCAACGAGTAGTCGCTTTTATACTCCTAGATTTCCTCTTTCGAATGAATGCTTAAGTACCTCTGGATGTTCGAACACAGCCGAGTGGGGTGAAGCTAAACGTGGTGCGATATTTATAATGCAACAACCTGATATGTATCTTACGTCATATATGATTTGAAAGAGATTTTTCTGCTCTCTATAAAACTGTATGTTTGACTTCCAGATTTTTTTTACAAACAGGTTGAATTTTATTCCTGCGATAAAGGAACGGGGAAAACTAAGCCATTCGGAAGATTCGCCTGCTCGCCAACATAGTATGTTCTGCACCTTTACTTTTGCAGATGTTCAAAAGCCTGTGAAATGTGGAGTCCTGTATCACCTGTATCACCTGTCGTCCCGTTGATCATCGATTGCTCGAGCGGGCGCCAGCAACGTCTCCATTCGTCCCTGTCGCGTGCAGAGTGGTCCAGTGGATCCTCCTCGCTCGAGGGACACGAAGTCCTTCATTCCTTTCGTTCAGAGCTTTCGTGAAGAAGTCTGACCATCGGGCCGGCGGTCGTCCAGGTGTTCGTTTGACGTCCCGAGGGATCCAGTCGGTAACCGCTCTGGTCCAACGGTCATCGCAAAATCGCATGACGTGTCCGGCCCACCTTATCTTCGATTCCTTGGCGAAAACGGCAGCGTCCCTGATCTTCGTCCAGTCGACAAAAATTAGGCAGACTGACAACTTCCTTTGTTTCTATTTTAGCCTAGCCTAGGAGATATTTGCCAATGATGCACCTCCTACTCGGCCGCAAAATTGTTGGACATACTGCTATAAGACTTTCAAAAAGGCGTCGTCGTTCCCGTTATGAATTCAGTTTTCCACCAGGACTCGATGGTTGGGCACTAATGCAATTCTGGACCCCAATTGTTTTGAGTTTTGAGCCGAAGTGTTAAACAAGAGCAATCGTGACTAAGTTTGAAATGTATGCCTGATTGATTTTATCATCTTCTACGGGGGAGTTCTTTCTTGAAGTGATGTGGTCATTGTCGTGGAGTGTGCACCTTATCACGTGAATCTAAAATTCGAACTGATTCAAAAATTATTAGGTTGAGCAAAAATTATCCACCGTTTCTTTTTCAGGCTCATGGCTCTTTGATTTTTTTGCTGATTATTTCTAAGATTATGATGTAATCTGGAAAGCGTACAATCTCTTGTACATTTTGATGTACAACACTTGTGTATTTGCTTCACTCTGGAGCTTACACGCGAGCAAAAAAGATTGCTCACTGCTACATGAGTGCAAGTTGAGCTCGAAACCGAATGCTTCTGCATCTGCTCGTAGAATCAATGAAGCCTGGGATGAAGGCACGGTTGCAGAGAGGACTGTTCGAGAGCGTTTGTTGATTACGCATTTATTGCCGTTTTTTTTTGTTTTTTTTGTTTGTTTTGTAATAAACTTATGAGTGAAATGAAAACGGCAGATAATTTTGCTCAATCTAATAAAACGAAACATAACATTAGTATCGAATAGAGCAGAAAAGGTATATCAATTCACGAACAATATATGATATATAACAATGGGTATGAGAGAAAAGATTTTAGCTCAATGCCGCTGTGACTTAACGGTCAACCAGAAAAACTAAATTCGAAAAAAAAACACGACAAAGCTTTTCAAAAACCTACTAGCGGAATATTTGATAGATCCCGTGACCGTGTAGAGGATACATAACTGACGCTCCTCCTATGGTATGTTGAGTTAGAGCTATGTACAGTAGTGGACAAAAGTGTTCGTAAAAAACTTTTTCGCGCATTTCATTTCTTCCCTCCAGAAAAGATCTGAAGATTAGTTTGAAGCCTTTCTTTCAAATATCTAACTCTTCAATAGTCAAGGTTTTGAAGGCTTTAAAAATGTCTTATCAATACTTGAAGGGCACTGTTTGAGTGAGAAAATTGATGCACGAAGAAACGTTTCGGCGAACACTTTTGACCGTTACTGTAGCTTTCGGTCAGCCTAATTTTCAGAAATTGGACCTCCCATTTCGCAGGCCTAAAATTAAACGCGTTTACAAAAAATGTGGGAGTCAATATATTTCTAGTGCATTTAACTCTTCTCCAAATAATAGATGAATCGATTTAAAAACTTTGGATTACAGAAAATACTCCATTCAAAAAAGGGACCCTACTTATGCGACAAACTAATAATATGCAGGTAACTCCTAACATCAAGTGTGCAATCGCCTAAATTTGAGCACCTGCTGGAAACTAAAGAGATTTGAAGTATCTCAGCCTTAGGACACCGTCGCTCGTCAGTAGTGCGTTTTGCTTAGAAATCGTGGGAGGAAAAAGGGAATTCGAGAGAGAAGGCTACCGGGTTCTCCTAGGATTTGCATATATAATGAAGTAATAATACTTTCGAAATTTAGGGTACCATGCAAGGGATTATGCTGATGGCCGGAAGTTTGGCTCGAACCATCGGTCCACTAGCGGTAGCGTCACTTTTCCAAGTGTATGGTCCCCTTATCTTATGGAGCTTAGAGGTATCTTGCCCATTAAATTTGTTTTGAATATCCTGCAAAGAATGCAAGTTTTTTCATTCGTCCTCCTATCTGTAATATGTACGGAGTGTCCTAAAATTACTTGCGCCAAAAATTTATTGGAAAAGGTATATCGATTATTTTCATTTCGGGCGCTGCTAAATAGTTGTGCAGGTAGGTTCTCTTGTGAACTGCATCGTTATTGGGGTAAAACTGCCAGTATCTCTGAGATGGCGAGAGGTGATCCAAGGTGACCTGCGATCATTCGCGTGCGCGAGCAAGAGACTGCATCAGGACATTGTTAAATTTCTTGGTGTTCCCGTGAACACAGTAAAGGTGGCCAACAAACGATGCAGGAAAATAAGAACACTCATTCACAAGCCTGTACAAGGAAGAATGGTCAGCGTGTTCACGGATAGAATCAACGAAATGTTTGCTTAGCAATCCACGGTGCTCCATCAGAAGGATGGCGAGGCCGCTGAATTTATCGAAGTCATCGATGGGGCGCATCATTAAGGAGAAGCAGCACTACAAACTCTATCACATGCAGAAGTGCCGCTTCATTCTGTTCAGCAACAAACAGCAGAGAGGCCGAAAAGTTGGAAGGTTACTAGCGCGCTTCACTGGCGACACGCAACTCTCGATCGTTTTTTCTGACGAGAAAATATTCGCTGTGGAGCCGGTGTTGAATAGCCAAAGCGATCACATTCTAGTCAGAAGTATCGGGAGTGTCATCTCACGAGGGAAGATTGTTGAAGAACGGCTAACTCGGCATCAGTAATGAATTGGGTGTGAGTCGCGGCCAATGATGAGATGCCGTTGAATTTTGCCGATTCATGTGTGAAGATCAGCAAGGACGCGCGTATTAGTGAACGTATTGAAACCTTGATCCAACCCCACTTTGGGAACAAGCCGTGGTGTTGCTAGCAGGACAGTGCTACAGCCTATGGGGCCAAGCTCGTTCGAGGCAGATGCGAGCTGCGAACTGCCCGACTTCGTCGCCGCGAGGAATGGCCTTCTTGCTCCCCTAATCTTAATCACTGGAACTCTCAGTCTGGTCCATGATTAAGAGCAAGGCATGTCGAGCTCGTCGTATGAATCTGCAACCATTGCAAGCAGCATCAAAGGAAGCCTGGGAAGAATTGGATAAGGAACACCTGCGTGCACGAATGGTGCAAGAAGAGACTCCGGGCCTGAATTCGTGCAGGTGGAGGACATTTTGAAATCTGGTTGTTGCATTTTGTATTGTACGATGTTAGAAAAACGAACCCCCCCCCCTCGTTGCTACTTCTAACAACATAGGTTGACCCTGGCCTGAAATCAACTGAGTAGGGTGAAGTGACTGACATGTCGTTGCTGGTATGGAACTAGAAATGGCCGGCATGTTGAAAACTCGTTCGAAAACTAAGATTTCTTGAAATTCTAAAGTAAAGTCAACCGATCTCTTATCTGAACATAACTAAGTGCTTGGCTACAAATTATAACAAGTGATAACTTCCATAAAGGTTTTGGGAAGAAACCGAGCAAAAAACAAGCAAGAGGCAAAAGGAGCGAATTGTAAGGAATCAAGCAAAAAAGTGAATAGAAGTGTACAAGTCAGTGTTTTTATCCTCCCAGACAAGTCTGGTACCAATTAACCGACCCCGGAGGGATGGAAGGCTTGGTTGGCCCGGGCGACTCACGACCCAGGATTTGATCCCCGGACCGCTCGCGTGGTAAGCGTGCCACTTGCCACTACACCACTTCCGCCCTAAGACCACTATATCGCAAGTGCAATAGGAGTCTTATAGTTGAGTTTGTGTGAGTCTCATAGCGAGATGTGTATGCAAGTCCTGTAGCAAGGTGTTTCGGTCCTGTGCCAAAATTCTACAAAATCTACAACATGTGGTATTTATGCATTGCTGTGTTTGCACGTGCCAATGCTGCTATTATTTTGACATGCGCCGAAATCGGTTCGGATGTCAAGACGTTAATATTGATACTCCTTGGCTTGTTCACCGAAATCGGAAGAACACCTTAGCATCTCAACGATGCGATTTCGGATATTGCTCCAACTTTTTATTTTCTTAGAAGTATTTTTTTCAGCTGAGCACATTGGGCGCTACGTTGCTGCTATGGCTTGTGTTCTATCGACGGCTTGTTCCTCTAAAAATTCCTGTACTGTCATGCGGAGAACACATGAAATATCCGAACGGAGTAAAATACCGCATGTGATATCAATTGATCTCTGAAGTGCATACATACAGTCGAAATCTCGAAGTCAGATTAGGCGTGGCTATGGATTTGACGTGGCCTTTGCCGCACTTGATAAAAGCCGTGAGGATAGGCTGTTTCTAACGTACTCCATTGGATATCAGCAGAGCATGCTTATCCGCGCAACTTCCATCAAATGCGGCGGCCGCCACGTCAAACCCATAGACACGCCTAATCTGACTTCGAGATATCGAGTATACCAATAAAATGAAATGCTGTTTGTAAATGTATACATAAAAATGAATCTGAATGTATCCCATCTGAATGCATTTGTTCTTGAGATGTGTGCAATCCGCTTGAAAAACCTCTGCATTACCAATAGCATGGCTCAAGTAATACTCAATGTAAGCTTATAATTTGCGTTCGAGCGCTCCTCAAAATGCTCGTTTGAACTTGAAACTTTCTCACACTTCAGGCTACCTCATTCCCTACATACGGGGATCCACTATGTAGTTGAGAAGAAAAAGACCCTGTATAAGTGAATAACCCTAATGTATGTAAGCCTCATATAGTTTCTGTCATATAACATCTCAAACGTGGGCCCTATATGGCTAGGTGGGTGCGGTCTCTTTGCTTGTTTTACTCTTACTAGATAGCAAAAAACTAGCCCTCGGCGAAATGAAGCTTCGCGTGTGTACTACATATAGTCGAATCACTGGAGGAAGTTTTCACACCACCACTTCTTTTTTTCGGCACTCAAACGAAACAACTCGTGCATGTACGCCTTCTCATTTCTGGTGGTGCAGGGACGGGGTTAAAAAAGTTACTTTCATCACACACATCATCAAAATTTTCGCCTCACAGGGCGGCCGCCGTCGATAGCAGTTTTACGGTGACATGTTCCTCAGGTGTCTCTTTGTAACCAGAAGCAGGCCTTCCTCCAGCCCCACCATCTTCAAAATATGGCGTCATCAGCCATCATCGAGTACAAGGAGACCAAGAGTGCTCGCTCTAGCCCTGAAGCTGCTAAATATTTGTTTGAATCAGTTGACTGGTAGATATCTTCCCAGAGACAGTAGCTTTGACTGAGCGAGATAACCGATCAGCGTTCCAGAGAAGGTCGCAGTGGTCTACAATCCGTCGATGACCGTTGAAACCCTAACGATTCGGTGAGTAGAAGGCGTTAGAAAAAGGAATAAGTATTTATTAAATCGTTCACAGAATTTATGATTTAAATGATTTATAAGACATTTCCCATTCGGTAGGCAGCTTTCGTTGAGCTTGAATCGTGCGCCGTGTTTCCGCGGGAAATTCTTCCGATGTCATCGAATATGTAAAAGGTTCTAACGAAGTCTTTTTTGTATGATTGGAATGTGCTCTGCAATTCACCGTTGAGATCGTTTAGCTTTAGTTCAGGAAAGTATATTTTCTCGTACAGTATAATTGTGTACCCTTAGAAACTACCGTAAGCTTGCGCCTATTTGGCGTCCTATTTTCTGCTCGTCTGCGCTCTCCAACCGAGAAATATGCGTGAACAACGTTAATGCCAAAAACGAATGTCATATTCGTAATCAGGGCACCAAATAACCCCTATACAGAAGTTTACACCGATTTTGGTGAAAACAAGGGTCGTGACAAGGTGACGCCAACTGGCGCCAGATGGCGCCACCGCTAAAAATGAATGTCGTTTTCGTAATCAGCATATCGAATTACCCCTATGGGCATGTTACGGTTGTCTCTAGATGTACGCAAGTGCACTGCACCAGCGGAGGTGTTTTTACGTGATATTGCGCGGCTTATCTACCGAAAATTAGGGTACTCACTAAGTATTGGGTTGTCTCATAATTCCTGTCTCATTTCTATTCAATTTCAAATTCTTCCGTCTAAGACCGTTTCATTGCGAAATACGTTAGTATGTTGAAGTATGCTTCAAGAGCCTTAACAGCATAGGTTTCGGAAACGCAAGCCCGTAATGGGGTTAATCATCTACAGTGCGTACCAAAAGTATGTGGACACCCTGGAATCGATTCTCAGGAGTCAGCTAAAGGCTTTTTATGTCATGAAACCTCCACCATTCAACTCCTAGTGGTCGATAACCTACAATGATATTTTCGGCAAAAGATTTCGTTCTAACTTAGCGAACTATTTTTCATGGAAAGTTTTTTCTTTGTATCAAAATTATGTGGACACTTTTTGAAAAACGGCAATATCTTCAGAATCTTATTGGGTCGTCCAGAAAATCCTGCGACACTTTGAACAAATTTTTGGTTTCGACACTCGAGGGGTTTCTGACACGATGTCGAAACCGCTAGAGTTGATGAGGCGCTTGGTGGTGTAGAGCGTAAGTCTAACGCTTGAAACACGTTCAGGCCTCTGAAGACGACGATTCAGTCGAAACGTTAGGCCATTAAAAGTTCCACCGAACAACCTCGTAAGGCACAAGAAAATTTTTAAACTTACAACTGACATGCCGAGGTTACAAGAAGAGAGAAGTTGGAGAATACTTTGAACAAAGTTCTTTAGGAAAAAAACAAAAACTCTTTTCAGTAGTTTTGGCATTTGATTGCTGCAGTGTATCTTCGGAGGTTTCGGCAGAAGCGTAAATGAAGGCTTCGTGCAGCGTTTACTGCTTCAAACTTCTCTCTGAATCAACACATCTTTTGACCTATTTTATTTTTCGAGCTCCTGTAAAGCCACTCCGTTTGTGTCGTTGCAGCTAGCATCTGTGCTGTAGTCAGGAGGGATGTCATTCACTAGGCCATGGTGTCCCGTTGGCCCTTGTTGCCTCGCAACTGGAGATATTTTGTTCGAAGTGAGGCACGGAGCTGGACGGCAGTAGATGATGACTGACGAGCGTTTACTCAACTTCCAAGAGGCGCAGCCGATTGCTACCAGTCGTAGGTTAACAACCAACGCTTAGATGCATTCATTCGACAATTATCGAGGATCTGCACGATCTCGGTTACAGATCAGTATGTTCGCCATTGACACCACATGGGTTGCGCCAGTCTGGGGAGGCGAACCGTGTGACCATGATTCAGATTTCTCTTCTTCTTTCGCATCAAAGGAATCTCTTGACAAAAATGATGGCTAATGAAGATAGCTCTGGCCTTGACTAAACTATACACATAAGCACTACTGGATTCGACAAGGAGGAAAGCTGCCCGCAGGAACAAAAGCAGGCCTTCGTCAAGAAGGACTTTTTAGTGTTTCTGATGAGGTTGCAAACTGATTCGCTACAGAAAGCTGCTGGATACCTGCACCAGGTACGACCATTGTCGGCTTTAACAACCTTCCAAATTTGGCCGAAGCCATGCGTCAAATTCAAAATTCTCGATACGGTGTTACCCCACCCTAACCCATATCTGCATGTGGCGAAGGATTACATATGAAGAGATCGTGGATTTTGATCGGGAAATTCTGCAGTGCTTGGCTTACTCGCCCGACTTAGTCGTTTCTAAATATTGCGTAATTAGTACACTGAGCGCTACCTAGAAGAGAAAAAATCCAATGATTGAGGTCACCGACGTGTTAGGTCACTTGTGATATTACTCTTTTGTTCAATGACGTAGAGACCGCGAACCACGATACCTCTACGTTTTCAATAAGGATGAAGTCTGAGGAATACGCTAGCCGACTTGCCAATCAAAGCCGTTGCGTTTAGCATTTTTCCAAATGGAATGGTGTCAGGGACCTCCCCTGCAAAACAAGTATCTCCTAATCTGACAAGCCAAACCCCAACTTTCCCCTCCTTTTGGAACCACCCCAGACCTTTGATGAACATCTTCCGAATTGTCTCTTCGAGCACATCTGCGGGTCCGACCAAAGTCTCTCCAAAAACCTCAAGACCCACCCGAATAGTAAGGAATAAGCTTCTTTCTGCCAGTCGAGTTGGTCTATGAGAGAAATTTCCACAGAAAGTCTTTTATACTAATTTTACCATTTCCACGAAAGCACTGTCTGTGTGGGTTCAAAGTATCATGTTGTGATCCTTTTTTGAGTGGGAATTCCAACCTTGCCAACCTGAACCCGCATTCATATACAAAGCCTTCTTCATCTTCTTTCGTGTCGTGTGCTCAATTGATTGAATGAGACACCGATTGGTCTTTTTTAAGATCGGGAAGATCATTTATGCGTAAAGTTGAGTAGTACGAAAAGAATAATTTGAGAAAATTAAGGCTATTCTTCTCCTGTTTTGAACAAGTAGCGATTGAGAACAACCCTCAGTCAAGGTCGAGAGCTTAGCATCAGGATTTCGGATTTCTCTCCAAACCTACGAGGACGCATGACTGGTTGACGTGCTATTTCGCAATAGGAAGGTTCAGAAGCATGGGGATCCCATTTCTGTGCTTGGTCTTCTTCAGAAAAACGAATGGCGAAGGTTTCATGACACAAAAGCCTTTAGCTGACTCCTGAGAATTGATTCCAGGGTGTCCACATACTTTTGGTACGCACTGTAGAAATAAAAATAGGTCAGTGACTATAATGAATGATTATGCTTTACGATCCTCAAATGAACTCTGTAGCAAGGAGGACAACAGAGAAGACCAGCGCTGTGTTTGACCCAGTCTCTGCTACTGATAGGGTACTGAGCTAGTGGTCCAATCGCAACGGCAAAGACGAAACGAGCTATGAACTTCAACCTCATACTGGGCCTGCGGTCATTTTTGATGAGCGCCCCTTGCACCCTAAATTGGGAGTGCCTCCGGACGTTGCTACCAGGGTATTGTAGCAGATACCTGAGCGCAGCCGATGCACCAGCACACGCCATCAGTATGGCAAGGACTGCTGCAGAATGAAGTTTTGATGGAAACCTTATGGTCCGGCCGACCATGAGCGGGAAGCACGCCTGACCATCTGGGAAAATCCATTCTGGGACGGCAAAAGCAGAGCCTTCCCTAATCGGTCACCAGTGGAAATGAGTCATGAGTCCACTGCGACAACAACATGCGGCACGTCTGATGGCTGCCTCGCAGCCAGGAAGCACCAGCTCAACCAAAGCCCGAACTCCGTTTTCTGAG